GGGACATTGGCCCAAAATATGTGCTCATCCAAGGGTGACAGTGAAGCCGGCTGAATGAGAAAACTGAGCTGTATCAGAAATGATAGAATAGGGGTATAGAGCATCTGGTCTGGGTGCCAAGAGCTGCACTTAAATCCCCATCTCTCAGAGCAACTGGGTTTTCCAAGCCAAATCCTGGTGTCCGGTAATGTGAGGGCTGACCCGACTAGACAGTGATTTCATAGCAGGAACAAAAATGCTGATGAAATTATTTTTGTGCATTTAACTTAGATCAAACAAACAAACCTACAAAACTTATAAATGGCTGGGTTCTTACCAACCCTGAGAATCTAAAGCCTTTACCTCTTGGCATACATGAAGAGCCCAAAGCTGACAAGGATCACTACCAGGTACACGTTGGTGGCTTCATTCCAGGCCTCGTGAACGCTGTAATCGATAGAGCCCTCGTCACCCATCACTCCGTAACCACCAGGCATGGGACTGTAAGGCAGCAAAGAGGGCAGGGTTTCTTTCAGTTAGTGATGGTGTGATGGCTGGACAAGGGCTGGCAAACAGAGGGCCTGCTGGCCAGTTCCAGCCCCCTGCCTGCCTTTGTATGGCCCAGGAGCCAAGAATGGTTTTACATTTCTAAACGGATACATTTTAAGAAGAGCATCTTCCATTTTTGCCTCACAGCCCTCAAAGCCTAAAATGTTTACCATCTGGCCCGTTAAGAAAATGTTGGCCAACCCTGGTCTAGATCACTAAGGCATGGAACACATTTTCGCCTATTTCTGACTTTGAAACATCACAGTTCCTACATAAAGGTTCAAACTTGGGATTTAAAAATCATATTTCTAAAAGGATATGGGTTGAAATGTCACTGCACAGTTTCCAAACTGTAACTATCACCCAGATGAAAGCAACTGAATACTTAAAACAGAGGTCCACACAAATGGCTGGGATGCTAAGAGAGAAGGACAGCGTTAGGCCCGTGACAGCAGTCTGGATGAGATGCGCCAGCCAGGACCGTGCTCTTCCACAGGCCCCTGACACACCTGGAAAACGAAAATGTCTGGAGCTTTATCTAGTTTTGGCCTCCTGGCCCACTGTGGAAGCTATGGGATAAAAAGTTATTTTGCTATTTACACAGCTGTGACTTCTATTCAAGGAAATGCATTCTTTGGACATTCCCACAGAAAATGAATGGTAACAGCAAGTATACCAAGTAGCAAGGGAAAGAGTACTGGTTTCTTATTTGCACTTGGGAAGTTCACTGAATTTTTCCTTAAAGAGAAAGTTCTGCTCTTGTGTTAAATCTAAACTAGGTAAGTCTACGTAAAATGACCTAATATGTGAAAGAAATTCGGAAGTGTTGTTTTAGATACTCTATCAAAAGGAGAAAAACTGGGCTTCCCTGGTGGCGCAGTGGTTGAGAGTCCGCCTGCCGATGCAGGGGACACGGGTTCGTGCCCCAGTCCGGGAAGATCCCACATGCCACGGAGCGGCTGGGCCCGTGAGCCATGGCCGCTGAGCCTGCGCATCCAGAGCCTGTGCTCCGCAACGGGAGAGGCCACAACAGTGAGAGGCCCGTGTACCGCAAAAAAAAAAGGAGAAAAACTGAACAAATGACAGGTGATAACTGTACTGTAGTTTCTACTAAGATAGCCATTTTCTAATACCAAGAAAAAAGGTATCTGGAATGTCCAAGAAATTGTTTTGCAATTTTTTCTAGACACCCTATAACAGTGAAGGCATTGCAGAAATTCCTCCACTGAAATATCTTGCAATCTGTCCTGTGAGCCTCCAAAAAAAATTTTTTTTTTTAAGGTAAGTGGGCTCCTTAGTTGCCTCTCCAGGGCTTCTTAGTTGCGGCTCACCGGCCCCTTAGCTGTGGCATGCCAACTCTTAGTTGCAGCATGCATGTGGGATCTAGTTCTCTGACCAGGGATCGAACCCAGGCCCCCTGCACTGGGAGCGCAGAGTCTTATCCACTGTGCCACCAGGGAAGTCCCCAAAATGTTCTTTAGTGTAGATTTGGCTCAGTAACTTAATAAGTGTATATTAAGGGCAGAGTCTGTTTTCTTTCTTACAGTTTGCCTCTGCATAAAATGAATGAAATTTCCTTGGGGTCTGCTCCCAGGCCAGGTGGCATGTTGGCCCCATTCTGGCACCTGAAGTCTCTGTCAGACGTTCGCGGACAGACTGTATTAAAGTGAGTATCGTGAATGGCCATTTAACTTACATTCTAGACACTGAGGGCAAGAGTCATTCCTCTGAAACATCTATTGGTGTCTGATGAGCATAAGGATTGGTCTTTTAAAAATTAGACAGAGAATAATAAAAACAGAACTTAAAACTTTATAGATGCAAGATCTAAATATTAAACATACCCAATTCCTACATATTAAAGATTGGCTATGGATTTTTGTTTTTTTTTTTAAGAGAGTGGGAGGCGCAGGGGGATTTGGCATTATTCACAGTTTCAATTCTTATTCCTTAAAATTGAACTCCAGAGTTTCTCTGGATGTAACATTATTCATAGTAAGTAATCAGCCTACTTTAGGAATGGAAACTTTTGGAACATCAGAGACTATAATTGTCTTTACAATTTATGGAATCTAGCATTTTTTTCTAGATTTCCGTTGGTGCCAAAACATAAAATAACAATGACTGTTTTTGGCCATAAGAGATGACTTCAGAGGTCTGGTTTGAGGTGCTGTGGAAAGGCCGGCACGGCCATGCAGTGAGGGTGGCAGGTTTCAGGATTGGGAGTTACGAACAAATTGGAGAAGAAAAGGGGAGCAGACTTAACAATGGCTACTGAGACACTTTGCAGGTGCCCTTTACCTGACACACTTCTAAAGCATTTCCTGCGTGTCTTCTACCGCCCGACTGGATCTGAGCCAGATGAACTTCTTGCTTTGGCGTTCCACAAAATCCTGTTCATGCGCCACTCAATAAATGGTGTATTCCTACAGAGCTGTCTTCCTCCTCCTACAAATATGCCAGTTTTTCATTATATTTTAGAGAAGGATTCTGAAATTCTGCTGACCAAGAATGGTGAAATTTTACTGTGAATTACACAACTTGATTGGTACGCAGTGACACTACTGTTCTGGGGACACGCACTTGAGTTACTTTTAGTAGTATGGTTGTGAAAGACTTGCACCGGGGGTAGGCCTTTCGTGCCTGGTCCTCCATCATGACCAACGGCATGCCTTTGTAAGACTGCCAGGAATAAGGAGTGGTCCTGTACAAAGTCACAGTACAGACCACAGCTCCCATGTGGCCTGAACTATGACTGGTCCCCACCCAGCTCGCCACAGTCTAACCAAGTGTACACACACACACCTGCTGAGCGGCTACTGCACACCTCACAGCCTCCCTCTAAGTCTGAAGCACAATGCCCAGGGGCGTTACAGTGGTTTGTTCCTGGCAAGTTAATGGATGTTTCAGCAAGACCACCATGTGCTTGGATTGTCATTCAGGGCTTTTCTGAGAAAACTGCACCTTTTCCACATATTTTTCCTGTAAACTAATGCTTGAGCTATTTCAGTAAGGAGTTGCTAGGATGAGCTGAACATAACTATCCAGAGATAAAGTTGGCAAAATGTGACAACTGGCGCTTGATTTCAGTTTGACAAACTTTTAAGTAGAGAACTAGTACTCTTCTTGGAATCAAGCGGCTGTATCATTTTTAAATTATTTTCTGTATTTGGGGTTCCCGATGCCGTGTCTAGGTGGTTCAGTTTTGAGGATCACTTGTCATCGTGTCCTGAATGGTATCCATTTCGTCTCTCACTTAGAGCTTTGCTATTTTGAAACAAGTTCAGATTGGAGTCACTCACACAGTTCTACGAGCTCCATACAACACAACCCATCGCATCAATGTTGTTTTCCCTCAGTCCTCTGAAACGCTAAAGGCTTGGGTTGCTGAAGCGGGAGGGTACAAGGTCACAGGCCTTCAACCAGCAAGACGAAGGCAATTAACATCTGAGGGGCCTGTGCTGGGCAGTCCACATATGCATTTAATTGTTACCATCACCCTGCTGGGAGGCACGAAAGCTCCACCTGGCAGACGACGCGGGGTGGGGGGCTGGGTACACAACTCGCCCAAAACCACCCAGGCTAGCGAGTCGCACGCTGGACTCCCAAACGTGGGCGCTTCCGGCCCTGCCCAGACTCGTGAGACTTGCCAGTCCCGGAGAGAGGAGCAGTCTAGCGGGCAGACAATGTAAACCCCCACCCCGGCAGGCGGCAGGGGCCGGAGCCGCCAGGGCTCGGCCGCCGCGGGCTGCGCGCGGTGCGATCCTGAAGCGCGCCCGCTCCACACCCCCATCCCCCCATCCTCCCAGCCCGGGTGCCCTGCGCTGCGCAGGCGGCGGCCTCCGCCTTTCGATCCGCGATTCTGGAGCTGCGGGCCTCACTGTTCCCTCCAGCCTGGGGCGCGGCGGCAGAGGAGCTGGGACGGCCGGGCGCGGGGCTAGGGGCGCCCTCGGGCTCCCTTCCCTCCCTCTCACCCTCCCCCCGCATGGAGGGGCGGGGCGGGGCGGGGCGACTCACGCCGCTAGCTCTGCAGGCGGCACGCGGCCCGGCGGCTCTGCTCCGCGCTCTTTCCCCGGCAGTCGCGGCCGGACGCGCGGAGCCGGTTACCGCACGGACCGGACGACCTCTGGTTCGTCATTTCCTGCCGGCCCGGCGGCTTCCGGATGGAACGAGGAGCCAGGTCTTTCCCCCCCCCCCCCCCCCCCCCCCCCCCCCCCCCCCCCCCC